TCTATGCAATACTTTCGTGACACTAAAACGCTTATCTCCTTATTTCATTTCATCCTTTTTTTGTAACAAGTGTCACTGTAACGCCTGCCAGGTGGCATTAAGAAAAAAACCCATCATTCAGCTTTATGTTACTGCAGGAAGGGAAAGGTTTCATTCAAGGTGCCGATGGCTACCTCTATTTGTTTGGGAACCTGACACCATGCAACAGTAATAGTAGAAATTTGGTCTTACGCCTTTCTCGGCAGGAGATGAACCTTGTGGTTGCGATTGCATTCAGAAGTGTCGGGAATTTGGATCGGCGGGAAACGGAGGAAAGCAACTCATTGTAGTAGTTAAGTCACTTGACATCCCGCATATGGCCACACGGGTCATTTGACTGGGAACGGGTTCATCGCCGTTTTGTTACTCTCTCCACTTACACCCTTCCCAAGGGGAGAGTGAGTGATAGGAGGGAAGGTGGTGGTTCTGCGGTCTTTTTTGACACCATACTCTTTGCTCTCTCTCTCTCTCTCTCTCTCTCACTCACCCCTTTGTACTTTAGTAGCTACAAATTTCTGTGTGAAAGTCCAGTTGGATGTTGCGCTCGAAAGAACACATCCATCGCTGTTAGTATGCCATGCGCACATTTTTAACATCCATCCGCCGCAAACTTTGAATCAATAGCTGCTTCTGGGACCCTTGTTAGTAACATCCCTACAACTCATCGTGCATGCGACCCTACAGTTGTAGAAGAAAAATTGGTCATTGTCTTGAGTTGGAGTTCGAAGTGGCTTCACTTTACTGCGTGTTGGTTCATGTAATTGTAACACCTTGTAAATACCTCTGTGATCGATCCCGGTGGTTCTGATTTTCGTGACTGCTATTTGAGTGTGAACGTTTGTAGCTGTAATTCAATTGCACACTCTTTCTCACAAGTTTGTGAAACCGCATTCACATTAGTTACTTGCATTATAGATCCAAAACGTCAACGAGCAAACTTTTTTATGGGCTAACGAAGTTATCCTGCGTTGAGCTACCTTAACAAGGATTTAGATTGGATTAATTTAAAACAGGTCAAAAGCTTTAAGCTCTCAAGGCTGATAGATTATTATTCTTAAGTGTGTTTGTGACACTGATACTCATGAATCAAGCGTCTGCCCCAATGGGTTACAATTCTGTGGCCTTTTGTGCTAATTTCGTTTATTACTTCGCTTCCAGTGACAGAGATGCTAGTCAATGTGCTGAAGATCTGTTCAGACGATGAGTTGCTCTCGGACGCCGACGACACCTTCGAAGGTGAGTCAAACTACCTTCTCATTTACACCCCTCCATCTGTCTTTTATCCACTATCGCTGTCGATGCACACGTGTGCACGTGTGTACTCTTTCCCCCTTGTCACTGCCCTCCTTCCCTTCAGTGCCAACAGCTGCGATGATTCTGCCCACAGGTAAGAGGGATGAAAATTTAGAAC